ACATTGACCAGTTGCCTCCTGCATGCGCCCTGATTGGGGCTGGGGAGTGAACCAGGAACCAAGGCACATGCCCTTGACTGGGAATCATGGGAATCAAACCCTCACCCTGTGGTTCAAGGGCTGATGCTCTTACCACTGAGAAAAACTGGCTAGCGCTGTTTTTAAGTTTTAGAGGGAGAGAGAGAGAGAGAGAGAGAGAGAGAGAATCATCGATGTGAGAGAGAATCATTGACCTGTTGCCTCCCGAGCATACCCCGATTGGGGATTGAACCACAACTTAGGTACGTGCCCTCAATTACAGGAATTGAGCCTGTAACCTTTAGACATACAGGATGATAGTCCAACCAACTGAGCCACACTAGTCAGGGCCAGAACTGGCAATTTTTTTGCCTGGGGCAAGCAGCATTAAATGGGCCCTCAGTTGACTTTGTGCTTCATGATTTGGCACAGGGAAGGGTGTTATTAACAATGTGTACCATCTGCTAGCTCCCGTTTTAACTAATTATTCTTGCTAACTAGGTGCTAAGCTCAGATGTTTTGAACGCCTGAGCTGTCAACATGTAAATTTCACAAAAATTTAAAGTCACATAATCTTTAAAAACCAGTATCAATACTTTCTTGCGCTCTCTAAATTTTAGCGTCCTGGCACAAAGCCCCAGTCATTTGCCTTAGCTCTCTGTAAGCCTGGCCTAGGGACTTGTGACCCACAAAGAGCGGAATACGTTAGAAAGTGTGTGCTGTGGCCTGTGCATGTGTCTTTGGGAGTGGGGAGAAGGTGGTGGATTGCACCAGAATCACCTGGAACTTTTTGATTTCTGCTGTGCATCCCTTTCCTTCTAGGCCTATCAGCATGGACAGGGGAGGAGGCTGGGTTTTGATTGAACAGAGATAGAGGAGCATAGAAGATTAATGAGAAAGGTATTCTGGCTATCCAGCTGGTGTCTTCTAAGCCTTTCTCTAAATTGTGTGATCACTACACAAAAGTAGTTAAGCATTGGTTGCTCTGTGTCCTGAGGATATTTTTCCATTGCTTTTTCAGAGAGAGTGGAAGAGAGGGAGGGAGGGAGAAAAAGAAACATTGATGGAAGAGAGACACATTGATTGGTTGCCTCTTGCATGAGCCTTCACCAGGGGTGAGGAGCGAGCCCGTAACCTAGGTATGTGCCCGAGACCCTTTGGTGCGAAGGCTGATGCTCTAACCATTGAGCCATGCCAGCCAGGGTATGATAGGTATCTATACTAATAAAAGGATAATATACTAATTAGACTGGGAGACCTTCCAGGAGACCCTCTGGATGTCCTGGACAAAGCTATGGTGGCGGGGCCGAGGCAGAGGCGGTTAGGGGCAATCAGGCCAGGAGGGAGGGCAATTGGGGTTGAGCAGGCCAGCAGTGGGGGGCAGCTGGGGATGATCAGACCAGCAGGGGGATAGTTGGGGGCAAACAGGCCGGCAGGGGGGACAGCTGGGGGGGAGGA